AAGATAACTAGCGGCCACCCCCCCCCCACCCAGACTCCCCTAATAATCACAGTCTAGTTGTTAAGAAGTACCTAAAATCATCTTATTTGCAAGTTAGCACCATCGAGGCTGCCCCCCCCCCTCTCCATCAGCACCCACACTTCAAGACTCTTACTGTAGATATGCCACTGGTCTCCACATACTAGAACAGGATGGCTGACATTTGTTTTTTGTATATTTTGGAAATACTTACTTAGATAAACCAACAAAATGTAAATACCATCTCCAGTCAGAACTTGTGCAACATTTATTTAATTGTAATTAAATTATGATATTTTAGGAAAATATAATTGTAATAATTTATTTCTAAGGCTGAAATAGGTAAAGAATATGGATGATAATAATGAAAAAAGTTTCTATTGAGTACTTATTTTGAAATATGTAATTGTGTTGTTAATTAGTTGTGAAACATTGTATGAAAAAGTAGCTTGGTGGTTAAGTTAACTCTTCCAATTCCAGGGTCCTGGGTCCTGGGTCCAAATCTTGCAAATGCTTATTTTTGCCTGACTAAAACTTAATAGAACTTAATAGGTGGTTTTCTGTATTCAGTGTTTTTTTTTTAATTCTTGGTTTGGCCATTGTGCACAAGTGTCTCTTGATAATGCGGTCTACTAACTCAACTTAAATGACAATGGCTGCCAAATATCTGGAATTATATGGCTACAATTACCAGTGCACCCTAATTTTCAAATTGAGACTTAAATTATAGAGAATCCAAGTGTCTAGCAGTGGGATGGTAATTTAAAATAATTAAATTTTATATTTATGTTAAATAATAATGTTCAATAATGTTGATGAGTGCAATATGATTTGAAGGCAAATGTTAATAAGTGCAGATATTCAAATGGATAATTTTAAGGTTCAAAATAAATGATGATGTATATAATGTAGTAGAGTAATTGCAATGTGTCTTTCTTATTTTTAAGTGAAATCAGTGTTGATGCTGCTGGTGCCGCTTACAGAGTGATGCCGGGGTGAAAGCTGAGGGTGAAATTGAGTGTTTGAAGGAGAAGGCTACAGAAGCTATGAACTTTTACGTATCAAATGTCTAATTTAAACGATTATTCATCTAAAATTTTTAGTGCTTGCTCTAGCTGTGCCGGCCCCAATCATAGCGCTGATGATAGTAATACATTTTTGGATATGGTGACGTTTCAAGTGGTGCTGTCTTGAAGCAATGGTGTATAATCAAACAGTGCTTGACATCGCAGTCATGCATGTACTATTAGGTAGTTTTCGCCGCACGACGTTAACCTTAACTTTAATGTTAGTACCCAACATGCAACGTGATAACCCAGCCCCTTTTTGTAAACAAATCGAAATACGCATGCGCAAACCCGTAACTAACGTACGTCGGGCATGTAAAATCCTGAATTAAGGTACTCCGCAACGCATGACGCCATCCGTTAACGTTAAGGTTAACGTCGTGCGGCGGAAACACCTTTATAACGCTCGGTGAAAACCTTTATGCTTTAAATTCAAACAATCAATTTGTGACGATTCTGCTTTCCTTAATCCAGGCACACATGACGTCGTATGACAAATCCGTCTTCACTCTCTTTGAGCGCTTGACGAGATGCTGATGGTGAGTAATTTACTTCTAGTTTAAGTTTATTTTTCTTTTATTTGGATGCACCGTTGGGTATTGTCCAACGTGTGCCACTGTTACGAAAGTGATATCCATTAAATTGAAATTGAGACAGAGCCAATTGTCATTGAAACGATCACCGTTGCACGCGAGCCTCATCTCAATGCCTTGTCCGTAGAATCGTGTCATCCAAATGGACCTTCCTCTAAGCCCCGCCCCTAGATATTGTTGTTAAGGTCGCACAAATCTTTCTGTCATGAGCTAAAAAATAAATTTGATTCCGTAATTGAATAGCCTAATTTAATGAGAAACAAATTCATCCTTCAATTACAGTTTAATTATAAATTCTCTGACATAGGCCCTTAAATGTCATTGTCATTGTCATTGTCATTGTCAAATGGACTGGTAATCATTTTATGGATCTTGTAGTAAAACTTCATTAAATAAGTTTCTGGATGGAGTTCATAACTTATTTTATACTTATAAATGATCTATTCGAAAATTAAATTGAATTTTTGAGGGTTTTCCCATTATTATTCAGTGCATCTTCAATGTGTATAACTAAAGCATGATTTCCTTAAAATCTCTACACTGTCGCTACAGTGTTCTCGTTTCTATCGTACTGCGTAGCAGTTCCCGACGCAATCGGGAGGCCATCGATTCGACTGACCAATCAGCATCACGCAAGCTGTCAGCGATAGCGTGTAGCGATTGTATGGAAACCAAGCTTTAATTTAACTTAATTAAATCGACATTAACATATGACAGTAACAAAAATATTTTTTTGTTTTTTATTTATTGTCATCATAATGTAAACACATTGTGTTCAGCAAACCTCGCGCAAACGTACTCCTGATGATGTTTTACCTCATGCAATGATTAATTTATAACTGACCGGTATAGGGAAGTTAATGGATATATCAGTATATTTCTTTATAACTCTCTAAATCGTGCCGTGGCAATAGGATTTTCTGTGTATAATTTATTATGCTTTTCTTGAATATTGAAGTGAATCATTGATGATTTTCCGTTCCCCGATTGTATATTTGCTAATGAGTTAATCGCATAAACTCTGAAAAAGAAATAACAAATTTGTGTTATATGATATATATATATAATATATATAATATATATATATT